TACACTTTCCAGAAAAAAAAATCCACCAAACCCTGATAAAATGGGAGAGAAGTAAAGACTGAGGGAGAAATACTTTATTTGCAGCTGGGATGACTAATGTAAAAGCTTTTTCTCTGCTGATAAAACCCAAGGGCAGTCATACGCATGTGCCATTTTTTCCTTGCCAGAAAATAGACTTCTGTCTGAGTGGTTCATTTTCTTCCTCTACTCCAGCCTATCCTGATAACCTTAAGAATAAGTACACTTTGTAGTAGTAGCTTGATGAGCAATATTATATTGCTTATGGTATACATGAACTGAAATGATGAAATAGTTTATATGTGAACAAGTTTTGACTTGTTAGGCCTTCTGCTTAGATACAGTTGAATTATTCCTTGCAACCATTAAGTAAAAGCTGTATTTTTAACTCATTTGTGGAAAAGCAGTTGAAGTGGGAGTATTTGCAGCTTAAACTAATTTGACTGGAAGATCTGAAGCTGGGTTATTAGATGAAAGCCACGTTAATGCTTCTTGAAAGCAGAAGTTGACACTTCATTTGACTAGCTTTCTTGTAGCACAGGTGATGCCAAGATGATGATGCATCAGCAATGCTATTTCTACCCATTTTTCTAGGGCAAGCAGCAGTGTAACACGTACTCCTCCTCCTTGTATTCCTCCAGGAGAGCGTTTGTGTTGCTAGACTGGAATACCAGTGGAGATTTCATTGCAGGCAGTGGGGCAACATTAGCATTCATTTTTGAAGTGGTTAAGGAGAGCACAGCGAAAAACAGCCAACATGAGGAGAGCTTGCAGGTCAGGCATTTTAACCCTTTGGGGTGTTCAGAGAACTTCTCCCCCCCTTCTTGGAATTCTGTTGCTACTACTTTTGTCTGCATAGTTAAGATACCACTTGGTCAGTTATGGTAATCAGTGTCAGGTAACATCCCACCTAATGTGCTCTTTTTTTTTTTTAAGGTTTATTCAAGCATTGTTTACTTCTGTTTTCATCCTTGGTCTCATAGATGTGAGCATCTGCAAGAAGGCATTCACATTTGAAAACTCCCAGAAGTTCAGAACTTAAGTATCTTGAAACTAGCATTTTTAAAAAAAGGGTGGAAACTAACCCTTGTGAATCATTTTTAAAGCGATTGGTTGTTAAGCCTCAGTACAGAAGATATTAAATGGAAAAAACGTCAAATTTTTTATCATGCAGTGCAAGAAAGGCATTTTGTTGTGTTGGTATTTGTTTACTCACATTAGTTAAAATCATGTTAATTTTAATATGTTTAATAGCATATTGTGCATCTCTGGCAAATAGTCAAATTAGGTTACGGTTGTGAATTGCAAAATGGAATAGATCAGTCAGTATGTTTTGAGTTTACTATTCTTTTTTTTCATTCCAAAGGAGAGGTTTGGAAACACTGATGAGAAAGTGGAAAGGTAGTAGAGGTAGATTATTTATTTTTTTTTTTTTCCCCCTCCCAAGAATTCCACAAAACCTCATCCTCTCCACACCCCTGCCTCCCCCCAGAGGAGACTATTATTTTCCATCTGTTTTTCTTATACAGCTGTAAGTGGAAGATCGTTGAAATTTATATGATGCTGTTTTGACTTTACTCTTAATCTGTGGCAGAAATCAAAGCTCCCCAGACTGAGGCATCTTAAGGGATCCTTGAATACACTTGATGCAAGGTTAATGATTGCTCTGCAGAGGTAAATAATCTGGAAAGTAACGTGAGAAAAGCAGTGTGAAATACATGCTCCCAGAAAAGTGAGAGAGGATTCCTTCCCAGGAGCGAGAACAGAAAGCTGCTGTGTCAGTTGCAGAGATGGTTTGAGAAGGAGAGGGAGATCTGATTTGACTCTGAATTAATAGGGATTTTGTATCTTTAAAAGTAAGTCTAGGGGTAATGTTAAAATCGGAATTTTTCACCCCCCACCCCCCCAATATTCTCTTAGAGTTTTTCTTCCAAATCCAGTGCTGCTGTGAGACTGGAATATTTCTTCTAAGCATCACTCCTGCTCCACCTTGTCTGTTACCACTTACACCATTGACTACTATTTAGCATAATTTTCAAGCAGATGCTTTTTTGTCTGAGGATATAAATCAAAAATTATTTTTGAAATACGTGATTGAATGCCAAACACTATTTTTGCTTGGAGAAAGCTTGATTTTTTTTTTTAATTTTTTTTTTGGGGGGGGGGGCTTAAAATGAAATTTGTGTAGAGCTGTAATTAAGCTTCAACTTTTCACTGGTAATATCTTTTAATATTTTGAGTTTCTATGTTGCCATACATTCTTTAGTTCATGTATTATCGATGGTAATAGGTATGGATTTTGCTAACTGGGCCAATTCAGCTGTCTGTTCATACGCATTGTTGTAGTGGCTGGGCTCAGGTAACTGTACGGTTGTAGTTACTGAAATAAGAGGCTGTTGATGCACTGACACTTTGGTAGTTGTCGTCACGACAAGCAGCTTCCCTCCGAGCTAATCACAATCTCTTGCTTGCGTTAGGGCTGCCTGTAAGCAGTCTGTATCTGAAACCCACTTTTTCCTCGAGCTTGTATGGTGAAGTCCCAGTCTGTTATCCATTATTGGCATCTCAGTGTACTGTGACGTACACACAAGTTTTGAGATTGGTACGAAAAAAATTAGTTTGGCATTTAAAGGAATCAACTTGATGTAGTCCTAATGGGTATGTTTGTTTCTTACACAAGTGCACACCTGAAAATACTAGAATTGGAGTTGAAATGGTCTGAAATGGCTTTGGCAAAGTTTTAACAAATGCTATTGTATCTCTGCTGTGTGTTTTGAATGTTATTTACAGAATGCGGGGTAAATTAATGCTGATTGTGAGTAGCTTGTGTAAGAATTGTGTAAATAATTTAGTTAAACTTTTGTTTGATTGTTCCAACTATAAGATTTTATTTGTCAGTTTGGAAAAAAAGCTACCTTTGAGGCTTTTGAAAATATGTGGAATAATTTAGAGTGTACAAGCTAGGACCCCAAAAGCTCATACTGATAATGAGATTATTTATTGCAAGGATGTATTGCTTTTATAAAATCCTAGTGCTGTCTTGCTTAAAAATGCTTACTACTTAGGCATTTCAGTTGCAGAAGAACCTTTTAAATTTGAATTAATGGTTCAGAGTAAGTACTACAGTGATGTCTTTTGGAGCTGTTTCACAGCTAAAACAAGTGTTTTCTTACACAGACAACATTTGTGTAGCGCCAGGCACACTGATTCATTGGGATGTAGGATGGACAGCAGCAGGCAGGGAGCTAGCACTGTATTCCAAGTTGCTTAAAATGCAATGACTTTTCCCCCCTCTGCATCCTTTTCTGTAGAGATTGTTATACTTGCCAAGTGATGTGATACCTTGGCTCTTTTTCACTTCAGCACATAGTTGTGCCTTAAAAAGGGTAGAAAATTCTGTCGTGCTTGCAGAAGTCTGTTTCTTGAGGGATGAGGCTGACTTGAGAGGCAGTGGACAGGGAGGTTGGTTAAGTTGGGCAGGTTTAATATCATCAGTCATATGGCCTAAGAAGTTTATTTTGAAACAGTATTTTTCTCAGTTTATTATGGAGGGATCTTTTAACTGGTTTACTTTGTGTTTGCAGGTATAAAGCATTGTTAAATCATCATAACATCAAATAAAATTCTGGTTTCTTCAGGCCCAAATGGGATGGGGTTTTTTGAGCTGTTGTCTGACTGGGAGTAGTTTTTGGGTTAGATGTCGGTAAATTTTTAATGTCCTGTTTTAAATTATGAAGAAACAGTTGCATAGACAAAATATTTCCCTGTGAGAATATATCACCATACAGTAAAACAGTTCCATTAAGATAGTATTAGTGATCACTTTATTTTAGTTAGGGAACACAAGACGAAAGTTAAAAAGCACTTTCTTTTGCTTGGAAAGATGTACCGGGCCTGTGATACCTAGGTTAAGAACATCGGTAAATGAAAAGACTGTATTATATGGAGGAATTAAGATTGGATTTATGTAACTTTTAATAGTCTGTAGTTGAGACTGTTGTTTCATTTTGTTGCATGACTGCATCAGAAATCTCTCCTAAAAACATAATTTAGTTATGATTCAGCAAATGTTTTTCTTAGGCATGTTTTTGGAATATGATAAATTCTAGCTGGTATGTTACCGAATAAAAATGGCTTGGTTATATTGAGAGCATAAGCCAAGTTTAAGTCCTGTGCCAAGAACTGTGGGACTGTTCGCTCAAGTACAGTCTAGGGATCCTGTTCTGTTTAGGTGGTGTACTGGCTCAGTTGGTAGTCAGCAGTTGGTTATGTGAAGGTTTTTTTAAAGCATTAGCTGTTTCACTGTGCTTCAAACGTTTGTATCACAGATGTTCCAGTTTATTTTGGCTGTTAGAATTGTTTGTCGACTAAACCAGATTATATTAATGTTTGTGTAAAAACACTGAAGGGCGTTAAAATGGTTAAACTCTTTCCACACATAAGTGATCTATGTTTAAATCTCTTTTTGTGTAAGAAAACTACATTTTGTAATTACTGTGGAATTTAGCTTAAACTTCTGCTTTGAAATTTATGAATGTAGATGACTGTGAGTCATGCAAACAGCAAGTACATGAGTTTTATTGGAATAAACCACCTAAAGGCTGAAAAAAATACTGAGATTGAATTACTGTATCTACAGTTTGTGGCAACAGCCTGCACTTCGCTAGAAATGATTTTTCAAATTTTAGGAACTTTTTTCTGTGGTTCAACTGCCAGTCTAGTTAGTTGTATCTTGATACAGCCGAGCTAAGGATTTACCATGAGCAAGACTTGGCATTGCTGAAAAAACTTTTTTGATGGAAGCTTGGAGAATAGCAAAGAATTGTCTGAAATAACCGTCAGGGTACACTGAAGGTGAGTGAGGGTGGTAAGCCGTAATGGACTGGACCAAACTGACCTGCTTTTATCCATAGCCGTAATATTTATGACTAGTGACTCTTAACGTGAATAACCTTCCATATGCCAAGAATGTGTTACTAGTGGTATTTTCCAGTCCTCTTTGTCTATTTTGTCAGTTTATTCAACTCCTTGTTCAACTTCTTTCTGTCCCAGTATTTCTCTACTGTCCTGAATGTTCGGATGCTATTCAGCTAATTGCAGCTGGTGGTGGAAGTTCATAGAAGCTTCCAGGTGTTACAAAATGCCAATGCCAGGCCTTTTTATTGGGAATGTTTCATCTTCTGTAAATGAAATATAAACTCTCATTTTAGTGTGGGGTTTTTTTGTAGTCTTGTTAGGTATTTATTTTTTTCATAGAAAAACAGATGCGGGCTATCTAAAGGGGTACAGGAAGATAATGTTGGGAAAAGACATTTCATACTAGGTTTGTTATGCAGAGTTTCAGGCGCAGGGGTAGCAAAGTTCGTAAGAGCAGCTGTACCAAAATTGATGATATTTAGATCTTGTGTATTTTTCCACACCTAGGCAATTTCAGTTCTGTGCTCGGGCACTCAGGTAGTGGTACCATTAGTCTTGCGTAGCTCATTAGTTTAGCAGAACTCTGGAAAAGTAATTCTTGTTTTTTCTGTTGCGAAGGGTATGTATCTATCTTGTTTTAGAAGGTCAGCCAGCTTATGCCTAGGGCTTACATGAACTAATGCAACCTCTCACCCTATGTGTTTGTTTAAAACTGGTCATGGGATGAGGTGCAGTTTGCTGTGATTACTTCTAGTGAGAATTTGAAGGAAAATGCATTGTATACAGTTTTAGAGCGTAAAGTACTTTGCTAAAGACTTGGGAAGGAATGAAGATGAGAGTTGGGATGCAAACAGGTGAGTTTCTGGCTCCCAACACACAGGTATTTTTGAATTCTAGTATCTTACTAGATTTTATAATGAATTTATTAATTATATTGAGTATAAATCCTCTGTAACAAAGATCCTTCTCTTTTATTTTTAGTATATTTTTGGGGAGTTCAGCCCTGATGAATTTAATCAGTTCTTCGTGACTCCACGATGCTCTGTTGAGGTAAGATCCACTTTAAACTTCTTTTAGAAACAACATTTTAAAGCTACATCTCTTTGTGTGTATTTGAAATATAACAATACAATTATTTTTTTGTCATTCTCTTAGCTTGCTAATTTACAAACTGAAGATATTGAACAGGAGTCTTCTTTTCATGTATGTGGATGTTAAGTCAATTTTTAGAAATAAGAAATTAATTATTCCACCTTCTGCTTGTCATCTTTCAGAGCTGGAATAGCTGACATTGTAGTGATAGGATGTTGAAAGCGAGTTCTCAGCAGTGTTCTTGGTTGTATGTAAGGTGGGATTCTAAGTCTTGTGAGCCTTTTGAAGCACAGGGATTCTTCATATTTTTTGACAGGTGGAGCACTGCTAACCATCAAAGCTATGCTTACAAGGAAGGCTGTGCATGAGGTCTGAGAAATGGATCAGTAATGAAGTAATTACAGTGGCAGTAAGAACCACAGAGTGGAAACAGTTGTCTTTGTGTGTTTGAGTTCATAACATACTACAGATAGTATTGTAGACTCTTATTCTCTGTAGTTCTTGGTAGAGAATGAAGAAACCATTTTCCTTTGTAGGGAAGAGCATGATGCCATTGTCCTAATCTCCAGACTTAAAAAATAATTTTCCTCTAGATCGATTTCTGTGTTTTCCCTCTGAACCTTTCCATTCAAACGTTTCAATCATACTTCTGTCCTCCCCCCTCAACATAACATAAATGAACACTTCAGCTGTAGATGGGGAAATCCTTTCATCACATTTTACAAATCTGGTGACCATTGTTAATGCAACTTAGTTTCCTATTACTTAGTTTTCCAAGTGTAATTAGTATAGTGTACCGTTAAACAATAAAAGTGCATGAAGGGAATGGGCTGGGGGAAGTTTAGAAAGAAAAAGATAGCTTCTACTTGCCTTTAGGGGTAGATTTGTATCTTCTCTGGTAGGTGGGAAGTAACACAGAATAGGTCCTCAGGTAATACATGTTTCTTCTGATTGTATTGCTGTTTTCCTACCATGACAAACAATAGCAGCAGTGTGACGTTTGCATCCTATGTAGTGTCACCTTAAGTGTCCTACATGAGCTATTCTATTGCTTTCATTGTGGAAGATGAAAATGTCGCATCTTGACTTCTATAAAGCTATTCTCATAAAGTATGTTGAGGAAACACAAACATACAGCATTAGAACCAGTCTTACTTCATTTTATAACTGTCTCAAGTGTACCACTTACTGGTTACCTATCAAAATAAAAAAACTGTGTTGAAGGATGTTCCTGAAGTTTGTCCTTGATCTGGTTCAGTTCAGTGTTTTAATTATCTGGATGATATGAAATTTATGCTTATTAGTTTTACACTGTGCAGATATTTCAGAGAAAAATGGTCTGAAAAAATAGGGTGAAATTCAAGAAGGACAAGGCTGAGATTATAATACTGCAGTGGTGTTTGACATACATTCTGTTGAGGGCAGTGCCAGTTCTGGGAGTCCCAGCGTCTGTTGATTCTGGTGTCCTCCTGAAGTCCCTTTCCTATAGACTGAAGGGTGGACTGAGACAAGGGACCAGTTAAAGCTAAAAGTTGTCTAGAATGTCTCTTTATACATGGCATTTTTAACATGTATTCTGTCAGATACCTGTTGACTGAGATGATTCAGATCACCTGCTTGTATGAAACAGGTCAATTCAGAAATCTACTTTGCAGAGGTGCTGTTGATTAACCAAATATGTAGGGGACCAATAGTTGGAGTACTTTTTTTTTATTATTTTGTTTTTACTTTGTATTTTCTTAAACCCTTTGAATTGGGGAAAAACAAGAATTACAAGTTTTATTGTAAACTGTTGACTGTAGAATTTTATAGTAACTTTTTTAGCTCTGACTATAAAATTTTATTGAATCTGTTCAATATTAATATGGATAATAGGTTCTTAACAGCTTGAAACCTCTTTCTGACCCATTGATTCTCATTTTTGAACTGGAAAGTTGAGGTATTAAGATGTATTATGGTTTATAAACGGATTTACAGTATGTGTTCTTTTTATGCACTTTTTTAATAACGGAATTTTAGGAATATTGTTTTTGCCACTTCTGATGCACTGTTGTCTACAGTGCTTTAAGAAGGCAATATGTAAGTATCTGTCTTTAGAGAACTTTTAGAGAACTGAAGACTTCAATGGAGAAGTCTTTGATATTTGTTACACCATTATAATTAATATTTAAAGTAGCATTATAAATCTGCCCTGTACTCTCAATGTTTTATCTCCTCCTGCAGAAACAATTCAACTCTTCTCCAGGGAGCTGCTGGACTGCAGTGTAGTAGTGGCTACCAGTTCCTGCAGGCACAGGAGAAGGCTTTCAGCTACCGGGGGAGTTTGGGTGCAGGCAAGGCGGGATTAGAAGTTACCCACCTGTGGTTACACAATAGCAAGGGTTCTATCAACCACTGGGTCCATAAAATGATGCCAGTGTTTTATACTAGACATATTTACAATCCAGATAGAAACTATATGTTATGGTTACGTTATGCTTAGGCTGATCATCAAGAATTTTTGGTTTTGTTCAGTGTGATTAAGAATACACCTTAGCTGAAACGTTTAAAGGGCAATGTGATAGCTGAACCAGCTTGAGTCAAAAGGTTTAGGTGTGACTCTTGTCTGCGCAAAACTTTGTTTCATCCTTTCACAGGTAATTTGGTGTATCTTCAGCTTTTACCTAAAAAGAGAGCATGTTCCTCATTTTAAAATGGTGGTGAGTTAATCAGGAAGATCCTGATGCTGCAAGATGAAGTTGATGAGCCTGTGGTGTGCAACCAAGATAATCTTTATCTTTCAGTAATTGTGGTAATCTGCAAGGACACTGGAAGCTACAGTGTGGGATTTGATAAATATAGAAGCATGAGTTCAAAGCATACTCTCAGAAAATCAAACCTTAATAATGATGTTATTTTTAAAGCATTCAGAGGTTTCAAATGAAACTGATATAAAATGTTAATAGAGTTGCTTTGTCTTTAAATATGTTTTATTTCTCTTTTTGTACAGCTCCCCCCATACAATGAAACAGTTTCATGTGGTGTTAAGTCCACAGGTAAGTTTCACGATGGTAAGACATCAACATCCATTTTTTTAAAACTTAAAGATTGTGACACTTCCCTTTAGATTTACTACAACTACTCTTTAAATTTAATCTTTAGAACTTGTTCAGCAGATACATATGCATGTATTTGGCAGGTTGGTTTTTTAAACGCCTTTATTGAATGACATCCTTGAGCATATTTGAAAATACTGCATTGAACTTCAACAGATTAAGGTGGGCATGCTTACTCCTCCTTGACTGTGCTACCACACAATCTTAATGGCTTGCTGAGATATTGTAGGACATAGCTGTAAAAATGGGGGGGTTTGAAGCTTTCTAGAGAACTTGTACTGAAGAAATGAGCAACTAGTGTGGCGTTCAGCCGGCCCTTCTGTAAGAACCATAGCACGAGTATTTTCTGGCAGTAGCGACCTGAAGACAGCTCTGCAAGCAGTATTATGTTCAGTGTTCTCTTTGACTCTTGTTTCCGTCTGGCTCAGCTATTTTTCTGGAAAAATATTTTTTTTAAAAATTTTTTTGTTGTTGTTGAAAGTATGACTCTTGATTTGAAAAGTGCATTACAGAGTTCCGGTTTTAAAGCTGTAACAGTCCCATGTCTACTCTGTCTCAACCCATACACCTTACAACCTGGCCTTACTTCATAGTTACATGAAGTTGACAGTTAAGTGGGAGTTGGCATGTGATCATCACTCTCTATAGTTTAAACTGAACTTCCACAGTATTTTAAGCAGCAGGTAAATTAGTGTTTTTACCATGAACCAAGGGAGAGAGCAAGGAAACTGAGAGTTACCCAGATGTATATGAGAATGATACAAATGACATCCAGATCTCCTTCAAAACAATGCAAGTGTCTGATTGGACGTTTCTTAAAAAGAGTACCAAAATGCACATATTAATGTTTAAGAACACTTGATCATTATACTTAGCGACTTTGACCTTGCATTTAAAGGTAAATAAGGTAGCCAGTCATAAAGAAGGACAGCAGGTCCCATTTGAAAGCAGACATGTAAAATTTCTGAAAATTTAGGAGCTTTATTTAGTACAAGACCAGCTTTAGGACCCTGAGTAGTTTTAAGTAGGAGTTTGAAAAGTTCATTAAAAGGACCATATGATATGAATTGTCTGTCGTTGATGACAGGGGCATCCAGTCATAATATTGCTTTGTCTAACTATGGATTTAAGTTCTGTTCTTTAAGACTTGAGATTTTAATGTTCACAAGCCATACAGAAAGTTGGTTTGTACAAATGTTTTTCAGATCATTCCTAGACCCTGAGAGAACCCCTCCCAGCCCTGAGATTAGGTAATGACAGCAAATTAGGTTTTGCCTGAAAAATGTCATTAACAAGCTTGCACTGTACTGTGCATGCGTATTATCACTGTGGTGGCTGCATAAGAAGCTGTGGAGACTAAAATGGAATGCTATGCTTATGCAGAATATTTATAATAAGATGACATACACTGACAATGTTGTCACTCCCCATAGTCTAATTTTTTTCTATACTTATCTTCAGTATTTAACTTTATTACGGAATTAGAAGATCTGTTAATACTTACTAGGAGTAATCAAATCACGGCTGAAGCTCTAATATGCAGAACTCTGTTCAGACTAATTAGTATTATGTATTCACAGCTCTTGCTATTGTACATAGACTTTGTCCTTGGAGCATCTGTTGATACTTGTTTCAATATGCGTGTCATGTTGTTCATGACAGATATATCTGTTTCAGTCCATTCAGAAATAGCACTGTGAACTAGATTGAAACAAAGATGCCCAGAAGCAAAGTGGAAAGTCAAAACAAATAGAAAAAATTACCTCATTTTTTTTTAAAAAGAACTTGACACAATCTTATGGCAAATGAGCTTCTGCCAGTCATTCCATAGACTAACTATACAGTAGCTACTGGTATTTATTATTCTAATCCTGCTGTAAGGTGTAAATTTTAATTCCTCAGCTGTAACTTCCTAGTTTGTGTTAAATGCTAGAATATCAGTTATACTCTTGGCAGGATTTTAGCCTATGATGTTTGTGTTGTACCTTCAGCTAAATTACCGTTGTGCCATAATTGTAACGGGTATGTTTTGTTCACTGCTCCCCACTTGCCCTGAGTTGACTCTTGTGATTGTCTAGTGTACAGTAAGCTGATAAGTTCACCAAAACCAGAAAAAAACCCAACCCCAAACTGTCTTGAGTTATTCTTTTTGCTAGGTTAGCTTTCGGAAACACAAATGCTGGAAGCGTGCTGGAGAGTAGAGGAGCAGGAGAGGAGTGCAGAAGTGAGAACTTTCACTGTAGTAGACTTTAGCTTGCCCATGAAGGGCAACTACATTCTATGTTTTGAAGCAATTATTTTTTTTTTTAAACTGGGATTTTGGCAAAGAAGCAGAAGTCCCAGATTATTTTGAACTGTTAGGGATTTTAAATGTGCCCAATAATTCATTCTTACCGTGATTGGAGGAATAATAGGTGTTACCAGTTGTTGCTTGTGCTTTGTACTGTTGTAACAAAGGGTGAAGAACTAGCTCTTGGTTCGTGTGTGACCTAACAAGTTACTCCATAAGCAGATGAACTAATGAGGAATAATTTTGGTGTAAATTTGTGTCCTGTATCCCTTAAAACACCATGCTCTACATTTGCAAGCAAGTGAAACTGTGGCTGGTTTCGAGCTGCATGTGTCCCAACAGGTCAACCAGTGTATAGCACTGACACCAGTTAGTGTTGCTGCTAAACAGTTAGGTGATGCCTGAGATCTCCCAACCCTTCCCTCTTCAGTGGGTTATCAGGCAGCGACTTTCCACCTCCCTGTCTCTAGGCTGCTGATTTTTTAAAAAAGAAACATAAGCCTTCTCTTCTGGTTGGTGATAGCTAGTCAGTGATTGCAGAAGTAGTTGGTGAATGGTGGGTTGACAAGGCATGGTGTTGTAATATGCTTTCTCATGGATGTAGGGGAGAGGTGAAGAAAATTTGAAATTCAGGCTCTTGTTAACATAATCTAGAGAAATCAGATGTGTATGGAAAGTGTCCCCCCCCCTTTAGTCTGACTGACAGTAAGATTGAAATGGATATGTGAAATGTGTTCACTTCTCATCTAGTTAGGTTAATAGATCAAAGCAGAAAAGCAATTAACATCTGTATTATATATCTTTGTTCATTAATTCATAATATGTTGGTATTGCATGTGTAAGTCAGACCTCAACACACATTGAATGTTCGTTACTCTTCATTTGATATTAAAAATTATGTACCCTGTAGTTTCTTGTTTCTTTCACATTTTTTTAAAAGCTAGAATTTTCATCAGTGGACTCTTCTAGAAAGTATTTGGGAAGTTTCAAAATGGTTATGTTGACAGCTGTGTATCCCAGCATTCTCCGTCAGACTCTGTATTCCTCCCATAGGATTATTTCCTTAGGTGTGCAAATAACTTTTTTTCCTTAGGAGCTATTGCTTGCTTTTTGTTGTGTTTTAAAACAAACAAAAAACCCCAAAACAAAACCCCCTAATTTTTAGTGAGTGTCTGTGGTGTACTTGAAAATATGCATTTGGTGCCTTGTCATACATAATGTAAGTTGCACAAAATCTTTAAGGTTTAGTGGTCTATCCACTTATATTTCTTTGGAAACAGTATCTAGTGTTTGGTTCTCTAGTAGCAGTCTTAAAAATTTGAAATGTGTTTTTAGCCCCCCATATTTGAGGAAACAGAAAATATTACTGTCTTTGAAACAGTAACGTAGATATCGTAAAAAGACCTACAGAACTTTAAGTGCTAAAATGTGAGCTTATCTTTAACGTTCCTGAGACTCCATTTCATTAATGTTATCTCTTTATTTGATAGTTATGGAAATAGTTGTAACTGAAGTATTCAGTGTTACTAGTTAGCACGCATGCATTATAAAACTAATTAAGTTCCATGAATTTGCAGTACTTTGTGACTGACAATATTTTGTGATACTGCAGCCTGATATGAGAGTATTTCTTCATGTTTCTTTAAAGAGCATGTCAGAGTTCCAAGGTAAATAAATAAATTAAAAGAAAAAAAAGAAACAAAACAAAACCAAGAAACCCCAAACCCAGTCCTGTTCATAAATTTTCTTCAATACTGCTTGTATGTACAAGTTGAACACTGACTTATGTTGAGTCGTATTTGTTGTATTTCTTGTCATAAAATCATAGTCATATATATATCATTTTCTCATATGATAATAAATTCAACTGTGATAAAATTAAGTTATTGATGAACCTAGAGTTTCAAAACCTGTAACTGCAGTATTTCCATACAATTAATGAAAATATTTTTCAGTTATTAATGATTATGATAAATCTTTACACACCAGGAAAACCAAACCAAAGCCCCCCAAAAACAAACTCCATATGTGGAAATTATTTTGAAAAGTTAAACAGATAAAGGATTGGATTTTGTAATTGTCAGTGGAAAAGACTGGCTTTAGAGAAAGTGTGGAATTAAATATTGTACCATATTTTATACGCAATTATCCAGTAATTAACTTAATGCAGAATATTGCTAAAGTCATTGGGCTGTAATAGTATTTCTTGATAGGTGAATTTAATAGGTGTTATTTGCAGGAACCGTGCAGTGATTTGGAAAATTACATTTCTTTTTAAGAAAACCTGAATCGTACTGTGTCGTCTTAAAGAAAATGGTGTTTTGAAATAGTCTTCAGGATTGAGATAGAGAATAAGAATTATTTTTGTTTGAGGGAATGTAGTTTGTTTTCTGAGTTGCAGGAAAATACCTTTTTTTTTTTTTTCCTTGATTTTGTAGCTTTTTGATTGAATGTCATTCACTAACTCACATTTGCTTTCTCTTGTCCAGGGGAAGAGTATCAGAGAATTGAATTTGGTGTTAATGAAGTTATTGAGACACAGTCATCTGTACTAAATAACACCGACTACAGTATTTCAAGTACTCTGAATCCTCAGGCTCCAGAATTCATTCTCAGTTGTGCACCTGCTCAGAAAACCCCTGATGATAGTCTTAGTGAAACAAACTACAACTCCATTGACTGCCAGTTCACTGATCCAACCCTCGCTTTGGACAGCGGTTCTACCGCTGAAAACGATGGCTTGTCTGGAGGCCTTGGACAAAGGGAGCGTAAAAAGAAGAAAAAAAGACCCCCTGGATACTACAGTTACTTGGAAGATGTCAGCGATGGCATCGCTCCCACAGAAGCTCTTGTAAATGGCCATGCAAATTCATCAGGACTAAACAGTATAAGCACGGAGGATACGGAACTGACAGGAGACATACCCTCCCTGGCCACACCAAGGACTTGCAACAGCCCGGACAACTCTGTGGACTTCATTAATGAAGCCGTCTCTGATAATTCTGTTTCTAGCGCACTAGACAATACCAGGACTGCTGGGCAGCCTGAGGTATGCCGTGTTACTAATTCTGAACAGTTTTGCATCCCTGCAGAGACTGGCAGAGATAGCCCTTTAAGGACAGCTGTTGTACAGTCTTATGCTGGTACTGATACTACTGAAAATCTTGGCGTTACTAATGGACAAACACTTGAATCCTCTGGTGAGGACACAGCTGCCAATGGGATAGAATTGCACACTGTGGAAAGCACTGACTCAGACCAAGCTAAGCCTGAGGAAGCTTCACCTACTACTGAGGCAACAGTAGTTGCAGGATCAGTCCCTGTTAATCAGCCTGCAAAATCGTGGGCTAGTCTTTTTCACAATTCCAAGCCCTCTACTTCCACATCTGTGGTCTATGTTGAGACTAAGTATACCCCTCCTGCCACATCTGCTCTGGTCCCTGAAAAACAGGTTGAAGTCAAAGAGGGACCTGTTCCAGTTTCAGAGGATCCTGTAGCCATAAAGATTGCAGGTATAGTTAATCCACGTGAGTGGATGTTACATGGGAAGGCTATTAACTCTGCTTGTAAACAGGAGTGTGCAGTAGCGATAGAGAAGATTTCTCTGTTAATGTGCTTAATAACATGACTGTTCAAACACTGCCTGAAAGATGTAATTCAAATAAGCTAGTTTTGTATCCCCCTGAGTAAACATTCTGACGAGATATTAACCATGTCATTATCCCAGATGCGGTAAAACTATTGCTACTTGTCAAACAATATGTTTAAGTGAACTGTAATTTTTAAATAGACTGGTTACATTCAGCTGTGTGCTATTGTAATAAGGAGAATATGTTAGAAAAGTTTGTTCTGAAAATGGCATGTTATATTATCCAGTATTTACAATCTTGTAATACATTCTATTACAAGAAGGGAAGGATATTAATATATTTATGCCGAAGTAGCTGAAATTCCTGGATACTTACAGTAGCTGAAGTATAATGTCTAAATAGGTCTTGCTTCAGGAATTCTAGTTCAGGAAATAGTTTTTATATTGATTTGCAGTTTGAGAGGTCTGTCTTTTGAAGAATTAACCATTTAAAATAATATTTTATTCAGAAGCAATGCTGGTTATTGCCTATTCAGGAGTAACCATAAGAAACTATCCAGAGAGTACCTCAGGAAAGGCAATGTGTGATATAAAGGCTTTGACCATTGGTCCTGTCATATTTGTTCTAATGAGAAATGCTGGAATGTGCATGAGATTGTTTCTGCAGATTCAGTCAGGAAAACATGAAGAAAAATATCCAGTTGGTTGCATCTTGTGTCACTGACTCCTGAGTGTTGGAGCAAAAATAATTGTTTTAAATCTGAAATAGTCTGTATGTGAAAAGGCTTGTGCAAAATCCTACTATTTATGCTAGAAGGTAATTTACAAGTATGGTGGGGTTTTGTGTGACAGCTTCAAATTTTCTACTCTAACCAGATGCTGACCTGGAGATTTCTATTCAGAATTACCCAGAAGCATGGGGAGAGAGAGGGAGGGAGAGAGGGAGAGAGGGAGAGAGGGAGAGGGGGAGAGAGGGAGGGAGAGAGGGAGGGAGAGAGGGAGGGAGAGAGGGAGAGGGAGAGAGGGAGAGAGGGAGAGGGAGAGGGAGGAAAGCTGTCAGAATAATTTCGATTTCTGTATATTTTTCACTTAAGTGTCACTAATGCAGTTGACTGTATTAAAAAAAAAGGTGATTATGGTTTGTATGAACTCATACATGTGGAGTATGTTGTACTCTTAAAATCACAAGCTATCATTTGGTAGTGAATTTTAACTTAAAACTGTTTTGTGACAACTGTAAAGCTAGAACTGCTTGCCATAGGTGGAAAAATTTTGGGTCATTTTTTTCTTGTCCAGGTTGCTTCAGTTTCAAGTTAACTTTCTAGACTTTTACTGTTTCTGTACTATTTTTTGCCACCAGGTGGGAGCAGAGCTTTTTATTTTGTCTTCAGTGTATTAAAATAGCAATGTAATTTTTATGCAGTTTTCTTCTGCACCTTCACTATTAGCTGGCTGTTTTTTGCAGAGGAATAATCTGGGTATAGATTCTTTTCCAGTGAAAAGGAATTAGTCTTCTCATTTTAACTGATTTAGATAGGAGTTACTTTGCTGCCATTCCTGTAATTCAGATGCTACTGATTTTGGTTTAAAACTTTTATGTGAAGGTCTGAATACCATGTAATCAGTGCTTTGCTCTGTGGAAAAAGGTGACTTTCTTCGTTGTCTGTTCTTTTTTTTCATGTTCTCTGTCCTGTTTGGAAAACAGGTAGATTAGTGCTGTTCATACACCCACACTCAAAAATGCGTTACGTGAGTTTCAATTTATGATTTCCAGACAAATCATTTGCTCTGTTCTGTACATATTTCATTTCAAATCTTCTGCCTAGGTTAACATCATTGTATAAGGGTATATAGCAATCCTGTATGTTTTTCATAAGTAGCTGCTGATTGTGTTCCTTGTTTTCTGTGTGGCCAAGTTGAGATCATGTTGTTGGATCTGCTGGGAGTTCACCAGTTGCAGCTCATGCCAATGCGAATGCATTTTTGACCATGGGTGCCATAGGGTGCTAAACACAGGTGAAATCTAGACCTAAAGTATCTTGAGTTTAGCAAGCAAAATATAGCAAATCTTCTGGCTTAATGTTGGAGCTCTGAGGCTCTTGTGTACAGTTTTTATTTAGAACAGGTGCTTAGGACACAAGAAGGTAAGTTACTTTTCCAGGGACAAATTGCTGGTTTGTGCCTCAACTTCACCAGTTACTGCAAGGAAGGTTAATGATTCACAGGCACCTTGAAGATAGTTTAATACGACTTGATTCAACCTGCAAAGGTCTGTGGTGTCTTAGTCCTCGAATTTAAATGAAAGCTACACAAGATAAGGGGATGAACCTCAGGACTAGAAAAATAAAACAGGCAAATAAATGTCATGTTAATCTTGATGAGAAAAAAATACTGAAGAGTTAATTGTAGCGCATGGCTAAGGTGTGTGATGAGAAGCTTTACTGGCAACACCAGTGAACAAGTTAAAGGAACTTCTGATACAAACTGTGAACAGTTGATGATTATTTGGCAAAACTCCAGGCAGATAACGTGAGAATGGTAGAGAAGTACAAATACAGCACCTGCGTATTTAGAAAGGGACAACCGGACTAATTATGTACCTTAGCCTAATTTAGATACTAGGACAAAAAATTTAATAATTTGTTTCTGAGGGATAGTAAGGTTATATATGGTCATACTTGTAAAAAATAAGACTCTTTCAGGCTTCACTTGCCATGTTTCACAGTTGCTACCCTCTGATGTGTAACCTGATGATAGTTAATAATACCTTACATAATATTCTTAGTAAGCTAGGGAAATAAGTGATTGGAAAACTAACTATTCTCTGAGTAGTCTTTTAACTGTTCTTGGTAACTTTAGGAAAAATTTCAATGGGATAATCTAAAAAGATTTTCTGAATCGTGTTTTCTTGCAGTGTTTTCATTGTGGATGATGGAATTAACAGTCCACGTAAAATTTACAGCAGGCAGAATTTCAGATGAATTGAAGAACACAAACATTTAAGGTGTGACTAAATCTGGAGTGATTTTAAATTAGGAGGAGGGGAATCCAATAAACGCAAGTATGGAAGGATATACCAGAACAGAAATCAAATGCAAGCGTGCAGTATGAAGAACAAATGGTTGGTAATAGTATTAGAGAATAAAAGGATCTAGAAGTTCTAGGGAGTTGCTAAATGTCCTTAGTAAAGCTGAAGAGGACGAAGTTTGGTTTTTTCCCCAGTGTGTGTTGATACCAATTTACATGGAAAAGATTGAAGATAACTATAATTCTGATGTTGCTGTTGAGAACTCAATGAAAATGCCAGACTTTGGGCATTAGTTGTCAAGGAAGATGTAGTAATGCAGCGGAGAGCAAACACAGAAGTAAGATTTGAAAACCATACTCTTTCGGCGAACATGGAAAATTTGGATTTACTTTGTCTCAGGTGAGATTGTTGGAGTGATTATGGATGTAACTTCAAATATGTAAGACAAGTTCATAAAGAAGATGGCGATTCGCTACTCTCCAAAGACTGTAGTGATCAAGACAAGAATTACTTAGTTTAATTTGTAACAAAGGTGTTTCAATGTTGCACAGTAGAAAATTTTTTCTTCCTGATAAACCTAGGTAAGCACTAGAGCAAGTAGTTGTGGAATGGAGGCGTGCATGGTTTGGGATTTTTTATGAATGACTTCAGGAATTTAGCCTGTTGTACTATCAAACTGCATCCTGGCAGATACTAATTTTGGGTAGGGTTATCCAGCAGTGTTGTCCTGGCATTTTTTTGTCGTTGTCCAGATTTGAAGAAATATCTGACTGACATACTTAATATTTGCCAAATAACAGTCTCAGGCTAAGTGTTAAATTGCTAACTTGTAATGTCTCTCTTCAGCATGGAGACCATATCCAAAGGTTTTCTCTTTCATTAAACTTTGAACTTGCGTTGATGAGGGAATGACCTTTTTTTTTTCCCCCATATTTGACAGGTATTTGTAATAACATCACCTGGTGAATGAACTTTAGCAAAATGTTTTCTGTTTACCGGTAGAAATTTGTAAACATGATAATATTGTTACAGATATGTTTTCAAATCAAGGCCGTGTTTCACAAGTCAGTGTCCACCAAAGGGAACGTGAATTCTTTCTGGTTAATGCTGTGTGCTTTATAACAGGTTTTGAAATTTGAAGAAGGTTTTCTCATGGTTCTAAGTGTATTTTTCTTCTGATGCTCTTGTGAAAGTTCTTTTTAGTTACTGTGTAAGTTTTATATGTGAGATAAAAATGTGGTATTGGTTGTAATTGCTGTACATAAAAATAATTCTTTATGTTAAAAGAAACAAAACTCACTGTAATTACTCTGGGCATTGCTTAAAAAGCGGTTTTATGACCACAAGAGGATGCTAAAGATCCTAATAATATTTTTATTTAGTATGATAGGAAAATGGGGAAAATACAGCTAACGTAAAAAGTTAGACATTAAAAATAAATACTTTTTCCATTATTTTTATCCTTTATTTTCAGCAGTGCTTAGTTATATTAACAGAAAGACTGTATATGTGCATAACAGGTTTCAGGCTTTGCTGCCTTAACAATATATTCGAAATACTTGAGCATTGATAATGTAATAACAAACGTATTTCAACAGTCACAGAAGAATTTTCATCTGCATTTGTGCTAGGTTCTAAAGTCTTCCCTTTTACGTCTTTTTGCTGTCTGCCCTTTCAGGTGTCAGATTCTTTATGTAATAGGAGACTGATTGAAATATTTTGTATTTTTTAGCATGTTCTTATTTGGTTACAACTGGTGGTGTCATCAGGAAATACAGTCTTATAGGTAAAGAGATAGTCTGGAAGTAGAAGGACATGGATTTTGTTTGCAATTCTGCCACCTCCTCTGCTTAGTTATGGCTTTATGCCTATACTTTTCCGCCTACGTAATGTTATCTTGTCTGTTTAGATAGTCCTTCCAGTGAATGACTCAAACTCTTAAGTTTATGCAGTGTAGTATGTAAGGGCTTTGGAGACCCTCACATTTATTGTAAGAATAAATAACCCCCTTGGTAGACAATTGCTACGTTTATTTGCATTTTTTATTCTGTCTTGTATACCTCTTGTCCTTATTTTGCAAATTTAAAATATACCAGATCCAATATTTTCGTTAAACAGTTTTATTTAGGTACATAAATAGCAGGTCAGACTTCCTGGCAAAACTCTTCCTGTTGCTCTCGGTTTCATAACCGAGACAGACTTATTTAGGTGCAATGGTTTCTAATTTTTAAACTTGGGCCATTGCTGAAGTTTTTGAAAGCAGGAAGACAGTAGGCATTACATTATGCAAGCCTGTTACTTTGTAGATTTTGGAATTCTTAAACCAGTAAAAAACCCATACTGTTCCAAAGACCATGTTAACACCTGTCTGTCCTGTTTGCACTAAGATATTTTTCTTGTAAGACAGTGTATGTTGACACTTATAAACTGAGACTGCTGTATCAGCTTCATCAGCTCTCTTCAAAGCAGAATTTGAGAAATACTTCATAAAATTGGTTGCAAGGGATTACAGCTAATGGGATTTTATATCTATATACGTATCTGTATATCTATATAAATAAAAGTATCTGATTTTAGGAAAACAAAAATAAAAACAAATAGATCTTCTCAGTTTTGAAGTTACAATGATTAGTTTTTGTACCAGCATCCTCCGGACCCACATTCCAGGATGTCTTTGATTTGAAGAAATATGTCCTATTTGAAATACGAGCAGTGTTTAAATGGAGCAGAAATTATTTGCTGAAGTTTCTGGGAATCTTGTTAATTGATTTGAGTTATTCTGTAATGTGTCAACAGATACTTGTTTTGATGGCTCGCGTGTGCGTTTTGTTGTTGCTCAATTTACTGTTTCTCATTCTGCAGAAATACTGGAAAATGTAAGACTAATACATAAACCAGTGTCTTTGCAACCGCGAGGGCTGATCAACAAAGGAAACTGGTGCTACATCAATGCTGTATCCTTACCTTGGAAAAAATCAATGACCTTAAGTTAACATTTGTATAATATAATCTCTCAAAGTTTTTTCTGGATTATTCCGGTAGGTATTTTATAGACGTGTTTGTCTTCCCATATCCTACTACTGTGGTTAAAATGTTTAAGGGTAGTATCTAGAAATCCAGGAGTGTTTTGAATCATTGAACCTTACGTCCAGGGTTCCTCTGCAGTTGGTTGCGATCGTGTTTGCAATTTATCTCTCTTACCTCTGTCAAAATATGTCAGAACTGTAACCTTCTCATGACTGAAAACCTTCTTGTTATTTCTAGTTATATTTACTCATGATTTTTTTGTGCATCAGCTGAAGTGGTTGTTTCTCTTTTGTACTTGAGGTCACTATTTGTAGGCTTTGTTTTGGCAATTTGGTAAGTGGCTCATTCAGTTTTCTGTTGAGCAGGCTGTCCTTATATCATCTGTGTAAATGCAGTGTTTAAAATAATCATTTTACAATGGGATGGAAGATTTGCTCGCTCTTAATGTATTAGAATTGTATTTCTCTGCAAAAATAACTTTTGCCTTGTGTAACAGAAATCTTCTTTCTTCAGCACTGTTATTATGATAGTTTTATTAATAAAAATTTTTCATTACTGTATCTATATCTACTATGTGAGCAATGGCTCACTGCAAGTTAGGATACTTTAACTGCTAGTACTGCTTGTGCAAAATATTAAGACCAATTTCAAGACTGATCATTGCAGAACCTAATAACCTATTTCCAGACCAGCGGTTGTGCTTTAAACTTCAGCTTTTATCTTACATCCAGTTCTGCACTCATCTGATTGTATTAGCTCCCGTTTTTTCAGTCTTAAAATGTTAAATGGGAATTTATTCCTCAATTTTTGCGCACTGTAGAGATCAAGTTAATATATCTCTTTAGCTGTTGAGATTACTGCCTTTTTTGTCACTTCCCTGTCCCTCCAGTCTTCAAATACACTTTCTCTGTTCACTGTTCCCGCCAAGTAGCACGGATTTTGATATTTTTAAAGTATTTTCTCCCAACATAAACTTTAGTTTTACTGGTTGCTCCAAACTCTTCTTTACACTGCCGAATGTTTCACATCACGGTGGGTTTTTTTGGTTTGTTATGGAGGTGAATCATCACCTTTAATTTGGAAGTCTGTCAGCTGGCTTTTTCCGTGCTTTTCAGAAAACATGTTACAGGTTATTGCTTGCCAATTTTCAAATTGTTAATTTTATAAAGTCTTTCCTAGGAAAGTTCTTTTCCTCTCCTGCTCCTAGACTAAATGTTTCCTTCCCCTTTAATTAAAGTTTTTGACATTTTTAAAATGTCAGTGAAATCACTGCATGTTACAAGATGCCAGGGTTTTTTAGTATAACTTCTGTACATTATTAACGTTGTGATAAAAATCGATCCATCTTCCAATTTAGTTACTGGATTGGTCTACATAATAGTTAGCTTTGTTTTGCATATAGTTTTTAATATAATTGAATATTTGGTTAATATGCAGATTACATTTTCTGAGTATTTCCTTAATGCCACTGTATAGACCCTGCAAGCCTTGGTTGCTTGCCCTCCAATGTATCATTTAATGAAGTCCATTCCAATGTATTCAAAATCACAGCGGCCGTGTACCTCAACACCAATGATAGACAGTTTGTAAGTAGCTTGTTTTTTTAAAAAAAAAACAAAAAACAAAAAACAAAACAAAACAAACCTGTGATCTAAGCTCATTCAGAAATACCTAACAAATGATTGTTTACTGCAATTATTGAAAGTTGATATGTATCCAGAAGTCTTTTTTTGTGTGGTTTTTTTTGGTGATACATGGCTTTTTATAATGAACTTGTATTTTACAATTGCTTGGCTAGTCGGGGAAGATAACTTCCTGTTCCCTGAGGAATACCAGTTTTAAGTAATGTTTAATATGCAAAAATGAACTGTGAGAGCTGCAAGAACTAACCTAAAACCTTGGTTTCGTTAGCAATGATCAGGTAAATTTTTATGTCTGAACTTGACTCAGACTTCATTATGATATTCTTTGATTTCTTTGGGGGGCGGGGGCAGTCAGTAATAACAATGATATAATTTTATTATTTGTCCTTCTAAGTCTTAACTTGCTGCTCATGTCTAGTTGTTCCTTCCATCTATTTCAGTGTTCGTTTAATGAATGAGTTCACTAATATGCCTGTACCTCCTAAAGCAAAACAAGGTGAGTGGGAATAGGGGGAGAAAGGTCTTAAAATCATGATAACAAGACCTTTAAAATACTGGTGCTTGATCACCTTCATGGCTCTTTGGACTTTTGGGCTTTCTTGGTATCTTAAAAAGTTTGCTATTGCTTTTCTGTCAGTGTTAGGCTTTTTCTTACTGCTGATTCATATCAAGAAGTTGCAGGTGTTGCACCTTATATTTTTTTCTTCTATTTGGTAGACCAAATGTAGATGTGCAATAAGAATAGTTTTTGTTGAAGGCTATCTTAATTGTTAAGATGTCTTCTGAAAACATGCTCAATCTAACAAAATAATTTAATATTCACTGTTTTACTCTACTTCCTTCTTTATTTCCAGCTTTTTCGTTTATCAGCTTGCTCAATTGTATCATTCTTCCTTAAATACTAAATGCTCACATTCATTTGGAACAAAATGGGGCCATAATAGGTTTCTTTAGCAGTTAGAGATTGCCTGCAGCAGGCATGTTATCGTGGCTTTTAATTCCTCTCCATCCTATGCACTGTTTCAATATTTTTCAAATATATTTTCAAATATATTTCAATATATTTCAGAAACTTTAGAACTAGTGTATGATTCTTGCTAGTATGTGTTTTGGATCAATGATGATTATGTAGTGAGGAATAGAACTTTTTTTTGATGGAAATAAATTATCTTGTAGGTAATCTCTAAACCAAATCTGTTGTATTACAAACTTATAGAAATAAAAAACAGTTTCGGGAATGTGTTTATGTAACATTATAAGAAAATACCACAAGGAGGTGGGTGTTCCAGTGATTTCCAAACAGTTCAGACATTTCTGTGGTTTGCTGCTTAGGTTTTGTTTCTGTAAAACAAATCCTACTGTCTTATGCAACTTATTCTACCTCTAGGTCATTTTGTTGTATTGTGTGGTTTTCAAACATAGTTTCTGAGGCCTTGTATTGCCTTTAGATTGAACATACTGTCAAACTGTTTCTTGTTTGCTTTTTTTTTCTGCAGTGAGGAAAAGTGATCTGTTAGAATTACAAATACATAAAAGATTTAAGCAAGTGTTCTTTGAATACAAAAGTAGTACAAAAATTTAAATAGAACTAGAATTGTTCTGTTATTATGGCTATGAATATTCTTACTAAGCTTCAGAGTGTTGACTGTAAGAAGAGAGTTCTAACTTTCTAGACCATCTGTAAGTGTATGTAGGGTGATGTAAGATGCTTTTTAAAAAAATGTTTATGGATGAAAGAATTGTATCTTAGGAATTGTGGGCTTGAGTCACTAAAATTGTAATAAAACTTAGTAAAAAATAATTTTGGATTCCAAAATCTAGTGATGTGTGAAGAGAATGTTAAGGTATAATATAGAAAAAACTTACCTATATTGTTATTTATATATACCTATCTTTTGCCTTGCAGCTTTAGGTGATAAAATTGTGAGAGACATCCGACCAGGAGCTGCCTTTGAACCTACATACATTTATAGACTTTTGACAGTTATAAAGTCAAGTCTGTCAGAAAAGGTGTGACTTACAAATCTTTGACTTTTGTAATTGCATTGCAAGACAGTTACTCTCATTAAAACAATGTAAAGCCATACATCAGCTTATGTGCCTAAATACCACTAAAATCAACTAGTTCATTATAATGAAGCTAGAGTGTCTTGGGACTTAAATTACAGGAAGATGTTAATTACAAGTTTGGCAGTTTGATATGTCGGAATAATATAAAAAATTACTATTGGAATGGAACATCTCATTTTATAAAGAAGATACATACTGATTTATATTTAAGAAATTAACAGTTGTTCATTTCTGCTTGGGATTCAGCTTGGAATGGTTGAAAGTCCACAGAGGCTTCAGAATACTGTTTCAGATTCAGTTTCAGTTTAAAGAAAAGCTAATAGTTCAAACCATCTTTTGATTTGGTCTTGGTTTGACAGCAACTTTTAATACTACTTTTAAAGGAAATAGCAAAAAATAAATAAATTGCCAACTCACATCGGATTTATATTGAAAAGAGTGCAGAAATGTTTGTGTGTGCTTACTGCTTATGGCAGGGTACCAGTTAATGTGTTGGTTCTTTTTGAACTGGTTAAAAATGGGGGGTTGTTACAGTAAAATTTAAACTTTGACTTTACAACTTAGACCAAGTTGTTGGTAAATTAGCTTTAATTTAGCTAGGAGGAAGCTAGATGTTCAATGAGATGAACCTTCTGTTAAAATGAAAACATGAAAATATAATAATTGGAAAAAACATTTTATTCAGGGCAGGCAAGAGGATGCTGAAGAATACTTGGGATTTATCCTCAATGGACTACATGAAGAAATGCTGACCCTAAAGAAACTTCTCTCTCCACATAATGAAAGTTAGTGAATTTTTTTTTGGTAGCAAACGTAATTTCTTTCAAATATTCTCCTTTTTTTGTGGTGATTCTGTAATACGGAGTAATGTTTGGAGTAGATGTTGAGATAGGGATAGAATGCCATGTTTTAGGGGACTCAAAGACATTAAAAAAATATATTTTCTTAAAATCTGTCCAAAGGATAAAGTGAATCCATTGTGTCCCATTTACAAATTATCTGAAGCGTTACTGGGTATTTGGAAAAGCATTCTCATTCGGTAAATACTCTGAATGACAATAATAAGTCATATACCTGATCCTCCTAAACAGCAATTTTCTGTATTACAAATTTTGACTAAACTCAATTGAGCATTATTTGAGGCTAACTCAAGTTGACTAGCCTTGTCTTAAGCATAGGTATGTTTGTCTGCCATTCATAATAACTGCAATGTCAGTTGTTTACTGGGGTTTTGGCTCGCTCCATGGTAGTTCAAAAATACATCAGTGTGTTTTTTCACTGATCTTTAAACCACTGTTACGATTTTTTTTTTAATAAGTGGAAACTTCTAGACTAATGGCTAATTTATATCTAATATAAACCAGAACATATTAAATTATTTTAAAATTCTTCTTGACAAAGTTGGAGAAAAAATTTCTTTAGAAGAAGTATCAGAATTTGTATGCAGAGTAAAATGCCATTTTATTTTACAGTGGCTTTATGCTTGGGTCCTCTATTAAAAATGAAACAAAACATTGTTAGTTTTAACAAAATATAGAATTCAGATCTGTAGTTATCCAATTTCTCTTTAGTAGGGTAAAATTTTTGTGATATAAAGTGATCATTCCATATTTTGTTCTTCAGCTGTGTGCAGTTTCTAGCCTCCTGACTTTGGCACTTGCAAAGAAAATATTTGCTAAGCCTTGGGTTCCCTGTAAAATATCTGTGCAGAAAAGGAGTTGTATTTAATAATGGCATAATTATGTTTCCAGAATAACACTTGACTTTCTAATTTTCTACCTCATAAATTTACTACTAAAAATATGTCAAACTTTGCTAGAAAACTGCATCTGTTTACATACAGTCATCGGTGAGCTGCATTCTGTTAATACATGAATGTGTCCAGCTATGAGTGAGCTTGGAATATACTTGCTGTCCTTTACTTTCTCAAATCTGTGATCTATGAAAACATTTTATTATCGAAAAATTACTTGCATTGGGGTTTTTGCCTCTCAAATTCTTTATCTGTGTACATGTTTTATATGTTAAAAAAAAACAAAACAAAAAAACACACAAAACCCAAAAAAACAAACCAAACAAAACCAAACAAAAAACCAAACCAAAACAAAAACCCAAATAAACAAAAAACCCTCACACAATGTTTTTTTTTTCTTCTTCACTTTAAGAACTCTCAGTTTCCAATGGCCCTGAGGCTCAGACTGTTCATGAAGAAGAGGAGCAAGATGAACAAGGGGAAGGCAGTGAGGATGAATGGGAACAAGTGGGACCTCGCAACAAATCATCAGTCACTCGACAGGCTGACTTTATTCAGACTCCAATTACTGATATTTTTGGTGGTCATATAAGGTATAGTACTTTTTCATAAAAGTTCTTGAGGCTGTAGGTTGCTTTGCCTTTACAGATAACTTTTTCTTCTGCTTTGCTTTCTGCATTTTTCACCATTATTGGATACTTGAATGGAAGAGACTATTACACAGTTTGTTCAGGGCAGGAGAGGCGAACATTCTACAGTGAAGCATTTGTTATTCAAGAGAGAGTTCAGAAGATGGACCAGAATGGTCAAAGGATTGATCAACGATCAAATGATTGATCATTGAGCAAATGATTCTATGACGTATTGTAGAGTCTGAATCTTTTTAACTGTCTTAAAAGAACAGACTGTTTAAAGAACAAAAGACCTGAATTGCATATATAGAAAAAATTTGGAATTCTTAGAGGTTAATATACAAAGCATACATATTTCAAAGAACTTTAGAGCTACTTAATTTTTGTGACCTCTGAGAAGTCTTGACTCATTTTGTAGACAAGGATACTAAGAGATAGTGAGATACGCTTCCCAGAGGCAGGAAAGTTATGTGTAATAGTTAATAAATGTTAAAGGTGAAAGAAGTTTGGAAAAATGTAAATTACTACAAGATGTTACAGGAATGAGAAGAATGTGGGACATTACTTATATTCAGGTCTGATACCAGATGAAGGCAGAAAGTAGATACTGAAAGAATAATTTTTGGAAAGGAAGCTTTGTGACTTGTTTGGAGAAATGTGTAATTTAAAATGAAAGCAAGGTAAACACTTGCTAAAAACATGTTCCAAAACAAAAATGCTAGACTTCAAGAATTATTTTTAAATTGGAGACAGACACTTAATTGCTAGTGTTTGACTCCCTGTGTTGCCAGGTATTCAGTCTAGAGGTGTGAATAATGTGGGCTAGTGCCTTCTGCCTGTGAAATGCACTGAAATTATTCTTCTGGGATTTGAGTCAGACAGCTAGCAAATAAAATGGTGTTTTCCATAGAAATTGGCAGACAGATGTTTGTATGTATTGATGAAATTCCACGTTGATGGTATGTTCACGTACCCAAGATATTGTTAATACCCTTAATAGATTTATCATGGACAGAATTGTTTAAATCTCTACATGATTCCATTAGTTTTTAAATTAAGAATACCAAGAGAATGCTATCTTCTGTAGAAGTCCACAGAAAATTAAATAAAGCAGAGGTAATACTGAAAAAAGGCAAAAACTTGCACCGAGCAACAGAACCACAGGGTCCAATCTGACATCTGTTGTCTGCTGTCATCACACCCACGTTATTTAACCTCCAAACCTGGTCGCACAATTTACCACAGAAACAGGATCCCGTGTTGTTATGTTGGAAAGCATCATCTGAGGCTGAGGGTGGAGATAGGAAGGGTTGAATACAGAATTGCCGGTAGAATTCCAATAAATGAAAGCGTCAGAAATTGGAAAAATGAAATGGAAAAAGCGGCTAGGAAAACGTGGTTTGAATTGGCGTCGTTTAGCGTGGGAAACTTTAGGCTGTCCTCTTGAGACTTTGTCTATTAAATGCCTATTTAGGCATAATTGCTTAAAAAAAACCCAGTCTTCCTTAAGCAATGCGAGACTTAAGTTTGTGTAAGTAAGAAGTTCGATCAGGATCTGGTTTGTTCATGTGCAGGAGTCTCTTTTTGAATTACAGCTTCTGTGAATTTCAAATATTTGTTATGCAAGCTAGCTCACAAGCCAGTTAGAAATCTGCGAAATATTTCCATAAGTAGTACCAACTTTTCCCTTCAAATGCACTGTTATTTTAAAAGAAAATACATCAATTACATTGTTGTAGTTTAAGCAGGGTAGCAATGTGCGGTGCCTGTTTCCCTGAAAAATTCTTACAGTAAAGTTCTTACAGTACCCAGGAGTAATTATTCATTGAAAATGATGCATTTTCCCTTGGCCAGATGAAATTTGTAATTATTCAAATAAGTTATATTGTTACAGAAAATCATAGTCCAGCAAAGGTTTTGCTATCAAATCAATTTCTGCATATCTTTTTTAGGAAAATGTTTTGAAGAAATGTTACAATTTAATTTCTAGTAATTAAAAAAATTTTCCTTAACATCATACTTTCAGAATATTATCTGTATTATTAATAAAATCTTTAATACATGGACTTGAACACAGTTGCAGTTGTGAGCATTTTTCTGTTGATTATTGCACTAAATAATGGTTAGCTTAAAAAGGGTTTGGGAAGTGTATCCAAAAGCAGCAAGACTTACACAGTGAAGGGTTTGTTTGTTGAAACACTGCGCTTGCCATGTGTTGAGGGTTTTGTCCTTAAATATAGCCAAGGAGGAAGTGTTAAACTGAAAGAAAGATGCTACTGTTTTTCATATGCTCTCTTTCCTCTAAAGGATATATATTTGCCAATATAAAGATGCATTGGCTTTCTGTTGGTGCTTCAGGGCTTTGCCTGAGTCAAAGGGGCTCTTTTGATAGGAGTTTGCAGTACAGGCGTTAAACCTGTGTGTTAACATTTCGTACATGACCTGGAGAAATTTCAGGATGGCTACATGGATTAGAGTTATGGTAATTATCTTACTACTTTCAAGCTTTGTAAGGCACTGTAACAAGCATAACGATATAATAAATTAGTGATTTATTTGGCTTTATAAAACCAGATTTTTGTAGGAGCTTGGGGCTTTTTAATGTAAGTACTGCTTTCGAAATAAAAAAAAAAAAGAATTTGTGAGCCATGTTTGATGTTTTTAAGTTTTCAGCGAAGTTTAAGAAAAATGAAAATTTGGGAAGAGTCTGCTTAGTGCAGTGGTATTGTGGCTTAAGAGTGTACTGTCTCATTGCACAAAACAATGATCGCCAAGTCAGGCTTTCTTATAGGCTGCAACTGAATACACTTCAAACAAAAATAAAAACCAAAAACACCAGGAAACATGTTCTCATGCCCTAGGTCGTTACTCCTGCCAGTTTTCTGAACGACTCCGGTTTATGTACAAAAGAGTACACGGACAAAGTCTGGACACAGAAAATGGTGGGAGGAAAAGGAAATGCCAGTCCTTGATGGAGCATAGTTTATATTTCCTATGACAAGATTTAAGCAAACAATTTACAATCACTATGATATTGGTCTTAGTGAAGTGACTAAAAAATTTGTATATTTTTATTGGAGAGTCTGGAATCAGTTGCAGTTTTTACAGTAGAGCACACAGATAAGCACTAGTGTTTTGCACTTCTGAAGATCTGTTGGCAAACATGATTTCAAAACTAACATGAAAAGAGTCTGGAGGTGATTTTTTTTTAAAAAAAAAACATTATAAAAAAATTCAGTGTTTTTCTTTAAAATTTTGATGCTTGTCCAGTAACTGTTTTAATCCTTGCATAAATAAACCAATTCAAATATAATCCCATTGGGTGCGCTCTAAGTGGATGTGAAAATCATTTAAATTGCAGTGAAGTGGATGCAGGTTATTGAAATTTATGCTTAACCTTTGTATTTGTGTGTGTTGTTTTTGATTGACTATAAATTGAGTTACTAAAGTAGACTTCAATCCGTTCTTACTTGAAGGTTCTATATTGTTGAAAATTACTCTGCTTTATTACATTTTCACTTTTGTTTCCATAGATCTGTTGTTTACCAGCAGAGTTCTAAGGAGTCTGCTACACTGCAACCTTTCTTCACCCTGCAACTGGATATCCAGTCAGACAAGATACGCACAGTTCAGGATGCGTTGGAAAGTTTGGTGGCAAGAGAGTCTGTCCAGGGTTATACCACAAAAACCAAGCAAGAGGTGTGTTCTGTTGACCTCTTTTTACAGTCAAATACCAAACTTTTTAGAAGGGCTTTTATACAGCGCTTGCTTTACAAATAGGTACTTGAACACTATTACTTATGTTAACAAAAGAGGTACTAACCTTTTCAGAGTGTCCTGCAGCGGTAAAATGTATTGCACTGGAACACATACACTGAAAGGAAGAGAACTAACTCTTAAAAAAACCCACTGTGATAAATAGCTGTGTTTTCTGAGTTGAAGTAGTAATTGGTTGGAGATTTTACTGGAGCGTGTATTAAATTAACAGGGTGAACTGTGGTAGTAATACATACTATTATGAGTAAAATCGCTTTTAGCTGATCTTGACATACAGATTCTTGGGGATTGCCAGATGTTCTTAGTAAAGGAGCAGCTCTTCAGACTATCATTTGAAAGCATGCTGTAGCTTTAAGAAGAAAACTTGTAGCAGAACACTTGCATGGTTGTCTGTGTGGCTGTCCTCGATGTTTTGATTTACACATTTCACTTACAAATTAAAAATGAAAATATTAATTGGTGGTAGGCCTATTAGAAGTCCATCTAAAACCTCACTAAAACATCTCATGATCACTAACTTTCTGTCTGGATTAAGAATCTGAAATATTTCAATAGCCAGTAACACATCCGTTCAGTGTCCTTGGCGCTGCATAGTTGACTGGTTTGCTGTACACAGCCCTTAAGATTAATACTATATTCAGTTTGAGGTCATCTGTTCAAGAAACTGTTCTTCACAGTTGCAGAATATCTAGAAGAGAACAATCAAAATGAATGACGGTATAAAAGTTGTAATGTAAAAGGAACGAATAAGGGAAAGGAACTGTTCAGCATCAAGAAAAAGAAACATGGAAATAGAGAGATGGAACCAAATGTAAAACTTAATATCTCAAAGGCTGCTCTGAAAAGGAAAAGGCTGATTTTTCTCAGTGATACTCAAACAGTAAATCGGAATAGGACCTAGGCTAGGTGTTACCTATGGTGCTTGTAGAGTTGTCCTCGCTGCTTTAAGAGAAGGTTGGAGAAACACCAGTCAGGATTTACACAAATAGTTATAATTGATTCAGAGGGATAGAGTGGAGGACCTTTCAAGATCTCCAAGCCTTGTGATTCCCTCTCACTCCTAAGTACCAGGCCATTTTATTGTGTATCCTCATGCAGTTCTGCAATTTTTTTTAATCTTATTTTTCAAATAATACAATACATAATAGTAGTAATTGCAATAAAAAAATACTTCATAGGAAGAAAAGCATGCTTTTGGCATTACAGTTTGAAAACTTGTGATATAGGGTAATAAATTAAACTTTTTCCCCACTAAGGTATTGCCTTGCTTCTTATGGTGTGCATTAGTAAAGAATTTCTAGTGTACATGGGTTGCTCGGATAGAAATTTTGCATGCACTGTTCATAACTTCTTTCAGTAGGCTGGGATAGAAAGAGGCTCTTGACTTGCAGATAGATGTTCTCTCTGACTTTCATTTCTGTATCTGTAAGTTTTCTAAATAATCCAAAGGAGAATATGATTAGATAAAGAAAGGATGGACCATTTTCTCTGAAAAGCTAAAGATGGATAGCTGAAATTTGTCTGCCTGTTACACTCAGTAGGAGTGTTAGAGAACATTGATTTCTCCAGTTGTCTTCCATGTGAAAGAAACATTTGCAATACAGGCTCATCATGATATTTACCACATTGATTTTGTTTTGCTAGTCATTCATTTTTTGGTTTTTGCTGCAGATGGTTTTAACTTTACTGACAACCCAGTGTTCAATTATGGAGTTTGGAAGAAATGAGTGTTCAAATTAGGAGCTGGAGGTTTGATCTGGCTTATATTTTAGAGTCTGAATGGAAATGCAAGCATTCACAATGTCTTTTAGATCTTTTTCCAAAAGAAATTCAAATTGAAATAGCTGTTCTTATATTAAAATTGTAGTGAAAACACTGAACACATCAACTGTAGAACAAGCATAGGACTTTGCAGATAGTAATTTTCAAAATGTATTGCAAAGAAGTGTTTCATTTCTATTTTACAGAAGAGGAACTCAGTTTACAGAAGGGGAACTACTGATAAAGCTAAAAATCGTATTATATTATTTGAAATTATTACTGTCTTCTGATTGTTTTAATCTGGACTGTATCCTTTACAAGTTGTGGGCATAAACAATTAATATGAAAAGAATAATCTTCCAAATATGTGTGAACGATTTCTCTTAAAGTTTGGTTTTTTAATCACTTTGGGCTGATTTTGAATTTTATGTGTGTGTTAATATCAACAGGAAATCAGTCAGATTTTCAAGCAGTGTTTTAAATAATTAGCTGTTTAAAACGAAAATAGGTGTTTAAAATGGAGTGGCATTCTCTTGCTCTTTCTGACTGAGTTTTGCTTGCTCACTGGCATTTGAAGAAAGTTGTTTTGGTTCCTTCTGGTCTTGCAGATCAGTTTGTTAAGTCTTGAATAAAAGGCTTAACTTTTATCCTCACTGAAGTGCTTTTCTTTTCAGTCTCTTATTCCTATTTGTAGACCTGCTCATATTTTCTAACAAAAGTGAAGACTCTTGAGTAACAAACTAGCCGTACCTCACTTACTTTTCCAGGTCGCCTGCCACATACTCCTTAGAAGGAGTCTTCACATCCCCTGGAGTTCTCAAACTGCTCCTTGATGATCTTAACAAGTATTTTCTTGGGACTCTGACTCATGTTCACTAAACAAACGTGTGGCAGTTCTAGCTGGTAATGTTGCTGCCAGAAATCAAGACCCCTTCACACAGTCAGGACAGCAGAACGTGTGCCTATTACTCAGCTGCTACTCTTCAGTCTGGCACCGTAACACAAAACTTGCTTTGATCTGTGGTTTAAGCTAATATGGAGCCGTGCAGCTGAGATGCAGGCGTCTGGTCCCACACAGCAGCTCAGTTACTGAGGATGGAGAATGGCAACTGCTTGAACCACTGCAGTGACGTTCTTCAGCATCCTCTATTCGTGCTCTGGGCTGGGAGCTGTTAAGTTCTTTTTGCTCAAAACTGAATTCAAAGACTTCGTATTTGAGATTTAGGAGACTCAATACAGGAGAATCTTGAGATAGTAGTAACTGGGTAAATCAAGTGCATATTTTTTTCTCTATATAAAGCCTCTCTGGACTTGTTCTGTAAAAGCAGAAGCTGTCCCCTGCTAACATGCTTGGAAGATGCATGCTCTCAGGAGTTTATGGGAGAATAGTGTGAACCTCATGAGGTCATCTTCGCTTTCAGAGTTTGCCTTCTAACTTCTTATTCTGCATGTTGTTTCCTGGAGATTGAGGAGGTGGGCACCAGCAGGCACTTACTTGTTGAGTGGATAAGAACAAGGTCCTGTTTGCCTTGCTGGTTTAAAAACAAACAAACAAAAAACCCACCCCCAAACACCAAAAACTCCTCTCAGTGCTCAGTGAAGCTGCCGCTATTGCCAGGGGTTTGATGGGGTTTGGATGCAGAAAGGCATATTTTGAACCCTTAAGATGCAGGTGAAATTTTATACAATTTGTAGACTATTTGTGCTTCAAATACAGAATTACCTCTTGTGAATTGCATCAACTCAGATCCGTGAGGAAATCAGGTACCCTACAAAATCTTCTTGCTTCAGTATCCTGAGAGATTTTACTTTTCAAGATTGGAAAGAGAGAATAGTTTTTCCCCATGACTTTCTGTTCTACACTTCTTAGGTTCTAGCAGAATGAAGCCCTGTATTGAAAAATAATATGCTGATGATTTACAATAAAGAGATTTTTCTCAGTAAAAAAATTGAGAGAAACCTAAGCAATTATTTTGAGAAAGGTTTTTGTGTCATAATTTCTGGGAAGGTTTTGTTGTACTATTCTGAGTTCAATTTCAGGTTTTCAGGCAGTAACTTTGCAGATTGGTTATAATGATACAAAAATCAGTATTTAGTAGAAAAAAGTGAGGTTATAACTCATATTTTTCTCTTTGAATTTTCTTCAGAACCTTTTAAAGAACCCAGCATACCTCTTTAGAAAGAAAAATCTTTAATTACTGATCTCTTCCATAACAGCTGATCATAGCTTACTCATTTTTAGGTAGCCTCCATAACAGCTCACTTTGTTATTTGAGGGACTTCTTGAATGACAAATATCTTGTGGTTAATGCAAAATAACTTTTGAACTGTTGCGTGCTAATCTCTTACTCTTAATACATTAATCATTGTTATACTCTGGTGAATAGGTCTTTATTTTAATGATAGCATTGTGAGAAGATGTTTTTCAACAGTGTTTAAGGATTTTTTTGGTGAGAAGAGGGGACTAAAGATAGTCCCAGTTAAAACTGAAGAATTGCAGTGTAGAAACTAGTATTTCAGTGGGGAATTGCAAGGTATTCTCAGCATGCTCTTTAAAGCAACAGAGCATTCAAACTTTTTAGCAAAGTAGTTGCAATACTGCTTTTGCATTTCAGTGAGTATTTCTGGAGCATTCAATGAAGTTTGTCAAGATAAATGTAGATTTAGGTGTTTACACAAAAATTTTCAGTAGTTTTTCTTCGATTTAGAGATTCTTTTTTGATTATAGTTACTTTACGTATTGAAAATTAAGACGTGATTTGGGTTAGTTCTTGTTTTTCCTTCTATTCAGCTTTTTGCAAAAAGGTGCCAGCTTTTAGAAATAAAAGTTTTTTTTTTGAAACCCTGTACATCAGGTATTGAGGTGTGGTGCTGTTGTCTTCTATAGTTCAGAGTTCTCTGAAATGAGCAGAATGTGTTAAAAGTTACTGACCTTTGATTAGAGTATAATAGCTTGCTGAGAACTATTAGTTGCTAAACTGTCATGAGTTGTTGTTCCTGGGGGGATCTCCAGCAAGGTGTTTTTAGTACTGCAGTACCTACGTGTCTGTGCTCATTATAACGCATGAAATTCTTCTAATAGTATTGAGTTCTCTTTTAACGCAACACGTTGGTTGAAGATCCAGTGTGCTTAAAGTCATAAACTGCAGTGTTTATCATAAATTAATATTATAATAACAAATCTGTGTTTTTTCTGCTAATGTATTTAAAATTAAAGACTTATTCCTCATTTAAAGAAGTAATTTTGAGCAGTTAACAAAAAATTACATGTTTTCTTCATCTTTGTTCTATGTATGTGTTAGGTGGAGATCAGTCGAAGAGTGACACTAGAAGAACTCCCCCCCGTTCTTGTTTTACACCTCAAGCGGTTTGTATATGAGAAAACTGGTGGATGTCAGAAGCTTATCAAGAATATTGAATATCCTGTTGATCTGGAAATTAGTAAAGGTAAAGATTTTTGAACAGAATTGCCCCCTCTTTAGGAAAAAGATAATGTTGCGTTTCCTAGGGGTATCTGTTTGTGTTTCAGTTTTCTTCCTCTTTCTTGTGCACAAACTTTATTCTCCATTGTTGCCTGGAAACGTAGTAATTTGAATGAGTATCTTGTATGCTGGTTGTTAGGTTTTGGTGTTTTGTTTGTTTGGGTTTTTTTGGGTTTTTTCCCCTCCTTCGTAAAAAGAATGTATTTGGGTTTCTGGGTTCAGTCTTGCCAAACCTGACATTGCCTGTATATGAATTTAGGCATCCATTTTGCAAAGAACATTATAGTGAAAGGTCTTAAAACCTTTGGCACATCCTAGACATTGGGTTGTCCAAGTAAGAGTTTCCTGCAGATTTAAGGAGTAAGGTTGTAGACTGGTGAGGACAAGTATTGGAAGTGATCCTGTTGAATGAGGGGTACGTCCCTATACAAGGTGGTTGCCAAGTAAGACTAGATATTTTTATCTCAGATTTCATTTGGAGAAGTGCCAAATTATTGTAATAAACAGTGGCTGATGAAAGGAAACTGGCATTTTGTAGAAAATGCAGCCTGAAGGTAGACAAGCCATAGTTCAGAGGTTAAACAACAGAGTTCTTTCATTTAACAAGTATCTGAAGAGATACTGATTTTGAAAAATGTGAGAACTTGCATATAATCCAGCACCTGAAACTTGCCAAATGAAATGCATTTTGTTTTGATCTGACAAAAAATTGACTGTCAGGCAGCCACTAGCTCAAATAGGAAAAAATAAATAAAATTAATCATTACTTATATCTCAAGTACTTTGTCAGACACTACCCTTTCCTTCAACTTAATATTTTCATTTAAAAAAATTCCTTAAAGAATGTAAAATTGTAGAACTAGTTCAATTTGCCGTGACTGACAAAAATGATTGTAATATGGCTTGAAATCTGAAATTGATTTGTCATTGTCTGACAGGAGAAATGAATGGAAAAAAGTTGAATAGTCTGATTTTTTTGACCCCTTCCCCCCTGCCCGTCCCCCGTCCCCCCCCTGCCCCTTACAGTTTTTTTGATGGCTTTTTTAAACCTTCCATAAATGCTAGTGTTCAGCAAACCTCAAAATTAATTCCCTTGATTACCAGGTATCAGAACCATGAACATTCTTTAAAGGCTACAGAAGATGTTTTAATTAAAACTTTCTCCTTTATGGTAGTGTTGATTTCCCTGAGAAATAATTGATCCTTTTGAAATAGCGTTTCTAAACTTGCTAACTCTTGCATTTGTGACTTTTTTTCCTTCTCCAGAGCTACTATCTCCTGGTGTGAAAAGTAAAATTTTTAAAGGCCAAAGAACCTACCGGCTCTTTGCAGGTATTTTATCTGTATGCCTCTAGTACCTGTATTGCAAATACAAATTCTGCATATAGAATTCTAGAAATGCTGGAGTTTCCTCTATTATAGAAAATATTTTCTTTTAAATTACACTGAAGTAGCTTGTGGGTGTCAAATTCTTGTGCTTAGTGGTTTTTTTTGCATGTGTGTCTATACACATATATTGTTATATCTGTATTTATATATCTCACTGATCCAGCTTTATGCAAAAACAGAGTTCTGTAACAGATCCACCTTGAAAAATATCAGCAGAAGCTGAAATACGGCTGTAATTAACTATGCCTAAATACACCACATATTCTCAGATAATGTTTGAAATGTCTTTTGAAATGGCTGTTTGAATGCTGGCTTTCCATCCATCCCTTTGAATCCTCAAGATGAATATTGCTAGCAGGCTATGAATAGCATATTGTAGGTGGAAAAGTTTAACTTGGAGGAGATGATGATTTTTGTGTGAGGAAACGATCTTTTTAAGAGTGTTTGCGATGTATACAAAATATCTAAATTGGTAGTTAAGATTGGAAGCTTGTGTAAGAATTCAGAAGCAGTATTTAAATATTGAGCAAAACAGACTCTGGGCAGTAATGAATTTCCTGAAGTTTAAAACTCCTACACAGTTTACAGTTTACGATTTGCACCTGCTTATTTGTGTTGGTGTGAGGAGAACGTAATAAACTGGAGAACTGGAGGTCTTAACTTCTGCGTCACCAAATCTGCGCCAGTACTGGTGGCCTTATGTGACTTGGTGGTTTGGATCCAGTTTTGTGACTGCTGAGGTTACAGAAGGAAATAACATACCTGTCTCTTGTGAAAATGCAAGACTGTTTCTGGCAGTGTAATTTTTTTTTTTTTATTGATAGTGGTTTTCATGGGACAAGTTTAGACAGTGTATATAAGGTGGCTTGAAGAATATGTGTTACCAGTGTAATTTTTTCTAACTCCTCCTGTGGAAAAGTACAATACTTCAGTCTTCTGTCGGTCTAGGACTTCTCATCCACAGAAACTGAGCTTGTTAGATGAATTTTAAATTACTAAAATAAGCTTTTGAAGAATTAAATTTCAGATGTTGTCCAGGATTTGCCTAATTACTTAACAATACATTTTAGAAATTCAGTAATTCAAGTTTAAGTTCCTGTAAAAAAAAATTACTTCCTAAATTCCCCAAAATGTATAGATGTAGTATATTCTGCCTTTTTGCTTTGCTTAAGTCAAGTTACTCTAAAATGCTCATTTTCGTAGAAGTGTGAAGAAAATCTGAGTAAGCTTGAAATGCGACTCTAGTCTGAAAGTGTAAACAATTTCGTAGTTATATCTTCTAATCTTGTGTCAAATACAGCAATTCCTTCTGTTCTTCATTTGTTCTTGTTAACTATGGTTAGGGCTCACATGTTCCTAAAAGGAGTTAAATGCAATTTCTTATATTCATCCTTAGAATTACATACATAAAAGATCTCTTCGATTTGGAGGCAGTGGCCACACCGAGCACTGAGAGCTCAGCATTAAGCTTTGAGTTTGGTTTCCGCAAGGAAAGCCGAGACGTCTTTTCTGCGGAACACTTCTGAGAACGCAGATAATTGGGGAAAGAAACAAGTTTGATTCATTCTTGGAAGTAGCAGTATTAGCAATTTATCAGAGGCGTTCAGTTCACGGTTTTGTTAAGGAGGTTACTGAGAACTAATAAATGTGAAACTTGTAGATTGGTACTTCCATGGAACCTGTTTTCAGAATAAAAATATAGTTAAGACAAAATTTAAGAAATGGTCAGAGGGGAATAACTGGCTTACATTCGTAATGAATGCGGTTTGAAAAGTCTTTCCTGATTTTAATAGACTACTACATATTTTTACCTGATTTTTTTTTTATATACTACATAGTTTTACCCAATTTTTTTTATAAATAATTTCAATAAAATACTGTTGTTGTCAGCAGACAGCGAATGTGCAGCTTAGAACATGTCGCTAAGCGTGGCAGTACCTGTTGTAAGCTCTGAAAGGTGTGCTGTGCCGTTGCAGATGGCCTTTATTGAGACAAATCCTTCCCAGAAAATCCTCTAGGAAGTTATAGAGAGCAATCTGATGCTTTTGATTCTTAATTTACTTAAACTTCCTATTAGAATTGTGCGATTTGGTATGCTGGAGAAACATTACATAGCGTCAAATGTAAGCAAGCAAGAACTAAACGCGTAAAGATTCTTGCTTAAGCCAGATCCTGTCATCTGCATAAACCACGAGTATGCTACAAACAAAGCAATACGTGTTGTTTTTTCTTTATTTACTTTTTCAGTGGCTATTTATCTGTGTATAGTGTATATGTGCATCATGAATTTCTCTTTACAGTTGTCTATCATCATGGAAACAGCGCAACTGGTGGCCATTACACTACGGACGTCTTCCAAATTGGTCTAAATGGCTGGTTACGCATCGATGACCAGGCAGTCAAAGTGATAAATCAGTACCAGGTGGTGAAGCCGTCTGCAGAACGCACAGCCTACCTCCTGTACTACCGCCGAGTTGACCTGCTGTGAAACTTTTCCCTTTTACGCTGTGTGTGCAAGATACCTGCTTTGTAGAACGCCAACTATCACTAACTTTTTTCTCCTGTAAATGCTCTTTTGAGTGAATCTTTTTTCTTTTTTTCTTTTTTCTTTTTTTTTTTTTCTTTTCCCTTGCAACTATGGGATAGAGTGATAAAGGAAACTACCTTGGGTTTGTGCACAACATAGTTTGTGTTGACTTTTAACTTTGCAGAATGAAGTCACTTGGTTGAAAGACTCAGTCTCATGAATCACAAAAATACAAAAAAATAAAGAATCTGAGTTAATGCTGAATCCTAAGATAATAAAAGGGGATTTGCATTTGATTCCCACTTTCTAATTGCGTAGTAGAAGAAAACCCTGCACCAGCAACAGAACTTGTAGATTTCTGTGAAAATGTTTTATCTTTACTTAAGTAAAAAAATAAAAAAATAAAAAAAAATAAAAAGTGCTCTCTGCTTCCCCAATAGTTTTTGATAAGTGGTAAAATATGAGCCGATGTGTATGAGACGGAAACGGTCCTATGTGCTTCAGAAAATGTACAAACGTACAAAATGCGGAGTTGCTGGTTCCTAATAGGAAGACACGTTTTAATAATTGTGCGATGAGAAACTGCTTAAGTACACATTGCAGATCAAATATTTGGAGTTAAGATGTTAGTCTATATAGATGGGTGATTGTAACTTTATTGCTATTAAGAAATTTCAAACTGCATTTATGCTTCTGTGTACATGAAATTTAAAAATGGGCAAAATAATTAAGATTGATATTTCTTTAAGTCTGCTTTGTTTAATTTTGCTGTCTGCTCTCCTATAATGTTGAGTTCCTAATTGTACACAGTTTAGTGATATCTAGAAGTATAAAGTTGTCGCCCATCAATAAAAGTCACAAAGTTGGTTTAAGGTGTGTGCGTGTGTGTTTTGTTTTTCCTCAAGTGGAAATTCTACCCTTGGAAACTCGAAAAATTGCTGTGTAGCACTTTTACAAGGTATAGATAGCGTTCCCCAAATGAAGTGTAGATTTTTTTTATTTTTTTTTTTCTTTCACAACTCCTTGAAACATCAGAAATGTTCCCGTTTGGCATTGAGATGGAACTGGACTTTGAGGGGAGAAGGAAAGGGCGAGGAGATCAGTCAGCGCAGCACAGTTACAAGTCTTAACACAGGGCCCACACCCTCACAGTCCCAGGGCTGAACACCCGTCGGCCAGAAAAGGAGGTTTAATTCCTTCTGTATCCTATGTGAAAGCTCTGCACGGTTGGTTTTTGAGGTAGATGTTGTTTTGTTTTATATTTGTGAAAATATTCCCTTCTTCTGCCAGTTGTCATTTTCTTTGAAATCTTGGGTAAAAATATTTCCTTGATCAGCCTCGTGTTGCCTTCCCTGCTGCTGAAGATGATAAAATCTGTATATGGTTTAATCTTTAATTTGATGATGGTGGTGTGTGCTTAGTGCATCATTGGAGAAGTGTTACAATTGTTGCCAGCGAAACAGGGCTAATTTTGAGAGATTGTCAATAAAAGGTTAAGTTGCATATACTCTGACCAAATGCGGTTCACTTTTTTTTTCCTAAATGTCACCTTAAAAAAAGTTATTTTCCACAAAGCTGTGGAAATGAAGTTAGCTGCATTAATTTTACAGGTCCTGTGTTCCAATAAATTCTTTCAGCATTTCTTTAAACTTCTCGTTTTGTTTTTACATGAAGTGGCCTGTCTGCCCAGGAGAGACGGGTGCAAGTCTTCGGTCAGGAGCGGCGTTAGCTTTCTCGGGAGAAGGAAGCAGCCCCGTAAATGCCGTAGGTTTCAGCACGTACCCATAGATGTGGGCTTCCCTCTAGTGTCTTCTGCCCAAGTCAAAGAGCACTCGATCCCTTCACAGAAGACGGGAAGGTCATTCCT